ATCTGTGAAATCATCTTGAAAGGTCACTTCATAATCAGATGAATTGTTATCAGAATCAACATGTTGCCTGAATGCGAGCTTTTCAAGAACCTGTACTATTGAGTTTTATTCTCAAGAGATTTTGTGACATTATATCTACATCTACATTTGTCAAAGATGATAGATTCTTTGTTTTGAAGAAGAAAGATCTATTGGGTTTTTACAATTGAAGAAATACTCAATTCACCAATCTGAAATCAAATAACTTAACATTCATGCATCATATTTTAGGTGTTTACAAAAATAGGTGCATTTTCATTCATTTTTATTCTTGTTGAAATTTTAACAGGAATTTCAAAGATTTTAGCAAAGATTCAAATCTATCATTTGAAAGATTAACATTGCCAGGTAGAGTTCATAATGAGAAGAACTCATCTGAAGAAGGAAGAAGAAGTTCATAATGAGAAGAATTTGTTCAACCTTTTACCTGAATTCATCAAATTGATGGATTATCTTTTCCAGAGAAGGTTCATACTGAGAAGAACTCATCTGAAGAAGGAAGAAGAAGTTCATAATGAGAAGAATTTGTTCAACCTTTTACCTGAATTCATCAAATTGATGGATTAACTTTTCCAGAGAAAGTTCATAATGAGAAGAACTCATCTGAAGAAGGAAGAAGAAGTTCATAATGAGAAGAATTTGTTCAACCTTTTACTTGAATCCATCATTTGATGGATCAGCTTTTCCAGAGAAAGTTCATAATGAGAAGAACTCATCTGAAGAAGGAAGAAGAAGTTCATAATAAGAAGAATTTGTTCAACTTTTTGCATAATTCTATCGCAGAAGGAGATAGATTAGCATCAGCCTTTCTAGAGAAAGTTCATAATGAGAAGAACTCATCAAGAACTTATTCAACCTTTTGAATGACTCTATCACAGAAAGGAAGTCATCATCATCCCCAGCAGAAAGTTCATAATAAGAAGAACTTATCTGGAGAAAGAGAAGAATTTATTCGATATCTCCATTATGATCAAAGTAAAGTCAAATGGATAAAAAATTTTATTATCTTTTCATCTTTGCCCTATTCTTGTTAACACAAGAATGAACAAAGAGGGGCAGCTGAAGATACTAATATTTTTATTATTATTATTATTATTATCATTATCATTATTATTATTATTATTGTTATTATTATTATTATTATTATTATTATTATTATTAAATATATTAAATACATATATAAATAAATATTACAAGCCCGAATGGAAGCCCAATTACAAACAGTGGCCCAGACCCAAAATCCTACAGTAAACCCTAAACCCAATTTAGGGTTTGTATCATCCTCAGCCGCCATCTTCAATTCCAGCCGTTGGATCTGGTTTGATCCAACGGTCCACCATTTGCCAGAGGAAACCCTAGGGTATCTATACCCTAGGGACACGTCCCAGCGCCGCCGTTGTTGGTTCCAGAAGCCTTCACCGCCACACCCACTCCAGCCGCACACGTCTTGCCCAAAATGGTGAGTCACCACTGGAAGTCCGGTGACTCACCGAAGAACTTCTTTCGGACCGGTCTGAGACGAACACCGGTGGTGGCTATAAAAGCCACCACCCATCTGCGAAAGAAAAAAAAAAGACAGAGACAGAGAACGGAGAAGAAAAAGATAGAAAGAAAAAAAAAACAAACTAGTACCAACGATCTCAGCAGCAAAGAACCAGAAGAAAAAAAGAGAGAAAAAGGAAGAAGAGACTTACCGAGGAAGCCTCGACCACCGGATCTCGTCAGAACCTTCGAAACATCGAAGGTATTTTTGTAAGATTCGCTCCGATTAGGAGCTTTTTAAAGGAAGAGAACACCGGGACCGTCCTTAGGACGGTCCGATCTATCTATTAGTATAAAAATAATTTTTTCCGGCCACCGGATGCGGTGGCCGGCGGTGATATTCACGGCGGCCCACGGTGGCCGACCGGTAACCGGCTTCCCTCCGATGAGGGAAGCTAGAGAGAAGGCAGAGAGTTTAAAACTCTCTCAGTGAAGAGAGAGAGAAGAAAATGGAAAATGAAGGTTGGCCCTTCGGGCCAGCCGGTTTTGGACTCTTATAGTCCTTCCCGAACGACGTCGTTTCGGGAAGGACTATGCGCGTAATTATGAAATAGTTAAACCCCGTCCGCAGTCCTTCGTATTTGTAAATTTTACATTTTGGTCACTAAACTGAATTTATAATAATTTTAATTAATTTAGGATAAATGAAAAATTTAATCCCTTAATTTTAATAAATAAATTTTTTATCCCTAGTTCATATTTTTAATTAATTTTATTATAAAATTTGAATTTTAGATAATTTCATTTTGGTCACTAAATTATTAAATTAGAAAATAAAATATTTAATCCCTATAATTTTAATTAGATTTAGTTTTATTTTTATAATTTAGTTATTTATATGTTTTCATCTTACTGCCTAAAATATATTGTTTTAGTGATATTTTTATTATATTGTATAAATATTTTTATATATTCATAAATATACTTATAATAAATAGTAATTTTAATATTTATTTTTTAACATCGAAGAAAAGGACAGTCTTAATACAACTGGATGTCCTATTCTGGTATTTTAAAATTAAACAATATTATTTAAATTAATATTTATCAATATCAAAGAAAAGAGCTGTCTTAAGGCACCTAGAAGTTCTTTTCTGATATTTTTAAATAAATAAATATTTTAAATAAATATAATTTTGAAAATAATAGGATTATAAATTAAATATATTTTTGAATTTTTAAATTTTAATAATAAGAGACAATTTATAATTAAAAAGTACCAATTTTGGGCGTTGTAGGGGTGCTAATCCTTCCCTAAACGTAACCGACCACGAATCCCTTTTTATTATTAAAAAGAACGAATTTTTGGTTAAAACGCAGATCAATTTATCTTTTAACTGATGTTTTCTTAAAAACTCTTTTAAAAGATAATTTTTTAGGTATTCGACCTACCTGATCCAAAAGGCCGATGGCGACTCCCAAATTATTTTCAAAACCATTTATTCACATCAATTTTCTCGCCAAATATAATATTTCGTGCCCGGACGAAAACCGGTTACGACACTGTCCAATGGTTGAGCTCTTTATTCTCCTTAATATAGTAGCTTTGGTCATATCATATATTTAAGTGTGAAGTATAAAAATGGTCCCCTGACTATATGATGTTATTTTTTTAGCCACTTAACTATTAAAAGTTACAAAATAATCCCTGATGTTGCTTTATTGAGTGCTTAAACTATTAAAAGTTACAAAATAGTCACCTGATCTCAGAATTGACGGTCGTTTGAGATGAACGTTAACTTGTAGACTGAGATATGATAAAATCTGATCTCAGAATTGTTTTAGTTGTATTTTTTGGATCGAATCTCCGTTTACATTATGTCATCAAGCTAGTACTTGAAACATTATACTAGAGAGCCAATACTTGAAAGAAACGACAATGCCAATAAACATCATTATAATATGATTTTACCATATCTCAGTCAGCAGGTTAATGTCTAACTCAGGCAACTGTTAATTTTTTTAACGGAAAAGGATGATATTGAAACATATGAATAGTCGAGTGACCATTTTGTAACTTTTAATATTTAGGAGACTCAACAAAATAACATTATATAGTCAGGGGGACCATTTGCAAACTTTACCCTATATTTAAATAGATTGGATTATGTTTGTTTTTTAAATTATTTTTGAATAATTATTTATCTTATTTTTGGATTAATAATTAAAATTTTATATAACCATTTGTTTTTATCTATTTAAATAGAGGTTTATATAAAATAAATGATTTTATTTATAATTTATCTCTTAAATTATGCATTTTCTTTTCTCAATCTAATATTTTTTTTATTAGAAATGTCCATTAAACTGTTCTTCGTTACCTAAATCACTCATAAAAAGTGGTTTTTTGTTTAAACAACTCAAAGTGATGACTTAAGTATTGTTACAATGGATGTCACATCAGCATTTTATTATCTCATTAAGTACGATGAACATGAGTGACTGATTTATTATAAAACTGATAATATCAATGATTCAATCGTTACTTTTAAAACATAAGTGGAAAAAAAAAACTCATTAAAACATCAGTGACCACTTATGTTGTTTAGCCTTATTTTGTTTTCAAATTTCACGATGGAGTGTTTTGTTGGTCTGAATCTGCTTCTTTCTTAATCCTTTATAATTATTTTGGTTTCATCCCAAATCTTCTCTTTGTTTTTCTTTTTATTGTTGCTCTTTTCTGCAACGCAGTCCAGCCTCCAACGCTTCCCAACTTTCCAGAAGGTAACAAATTTCCCATTTCTCTGCTTTTTTTGGACTTGGGTTTTTTGTACTGTGGATGGGTATTTTAGGTTCTTGAAAGAGAGAATCTTTTTATTAATCTGTATATAGGCTTTTGCTATGTTCCGCTTAATCATGATAATTGCAGAATAGGGCTAGAAATGGGTTTGATTTGAAATTGAAGTTTCTTGTAGAAATTAAATTACCATCTCGCGTTTGTCTTTTTTTCTTTGGAGGATCACGCTTTCATTTATTCTTTTCTTATATTCAATTGATATGTCATAAATCTAACGCAAATGAGTTAGCCATATATTTACATCGTATGTAGCTGGTTAGATGAAGAGGTTTGTAATCATTGAGTTGTATAAACAAATATGTCATAAATTTATAGTAAATTAGTTAGCCATAGATTTACATCGTATCTAGATGGTTAGATGAAGAGGTTTGTAGTCATTGACTTGTATAAACGAATATGTCATAAATTTATAGTAAATGAGTTAGCTTCCTAGTGTGCTTGTATTAGTTTATACAAATTTATACTAAATGGAATTGCCAACTTTTGAAGTATAATGGAACCATCTCATGATATTATTGACAAAGACCCTAGTTTGGTTTTCTCTCATGACATCCTCTGACCAATGTTTCAGTTTTGCTGAGGATATTTGGATCTGAATTAGAGCTGTGAACAGACCCTCGAAATGGATGCTGATATCTTTCATGAAGAAGGTGTTTCTGGTGATGAATTCAATAGTATGGAACCAGAGGCAGGATCAAGTAGGACTGACATACTTGACGAGACATCATCTGGTGGAGGGGTGAATGGAGAATTAGGAAGGGCTAGCGAGATACTAATAAGAGTGGATTTAGATTTTGCATGTTTCTCGGAGAAATTGGTTAACATAAGTGTACTTACAATGCGTGTGGCAACTAGGGAAGTTGACTTCGAATCAATTTTGTCAGATAAAGACAATTTGCAGGTTGAGTCAATGGAGAAGGCTGTGGAATTTGAACTTTTATCCGGGATTTTAGATTCAGAGGTTACAGAACTGTATAAATTTATGGAGCATCTTGAAACTTACATTATTAGTTCCCGTGAATCGATATCTTCATTTAAGCACTTAGGAGAAACTTTCTTCAAAATGGAGGAAAAACTACTTGATTATGAAGAATCTTTGAAGCAGTTACGAGATCAGGTCTCAGAGATTAAGATGCAGGCTGTTGATTTCCATAGGATTATATCACGCCTTCATGGAAATGATAATGGTAAGCTACAGATCTGTTACTAACTTTATTTTGTGTTCATATTTTGCCATTGATGGAATTAAAGAACTAAGTCTAGGCATGTGCTTTACAAGTTTATAAAATAAACTAGATGTCTTTCTTTTGGAATCTGCCTGTCCAAGATACAAAGGTCAAAGAGTAGGGAGAGTTTTTGCTGATATTACTTGTATTTTTCTCTTTTGTTGCTGAACCACCAACATAACAAAGATTATGTCCAAAAGAAGGAAAAGTGCCTTTGAGGCATATTCTTATTTGACGGGCTGATTCTGCTGGATCTCGGTAAATTCAATGAATTTTTATGAATCTTTTTGCACCCCCCCCCAAGATAGGTTGAAGGAAAAGGGATAATAAAAATATACTCTTCTGACATTTCCTAATATGTGCTTATCGCTAGGGAATGACGAAGATGTGAACATATCTGAAGCTGAGCAATACTCCACCGATAATGCAAAGATAAAAATGCAAACTATTGAACAGCAAAGGCATATTTTGATAATGCTGGAGAAATCTTTGGCTCGGGAAATTGACTTGGAAAAGAAGTTTACAGAATCCAGGCAAATTGAGGAGGAGCTGAAACCAAGGGTACTATCTTTAGAACAAGGGATTGTCAGCATGGAGGAAGAGGCAATGGATGTTAATGGAAGGTTGTTTGAAGCACAGAATGCTGCAGTGGTGTTTATGGGCATTTCACAGGAGCTACTAGGTCGACTTCAACATGTCCAGTTTAATTTGAATAATTCTGTTCATCGCGAAACTGAGATGAGATCAAAGCTTAATGAGGCCACAGAGAAGTTGAAAGCCAAAGAAAGTGCATTGAGGAAGCTTGCAAGTAGTGATACAAGACTCAATGATTTTCTTATGGCGCAGGTAGACACCTTAAAAGCGAAGTTGGCTGAAGTTGAACAAAAGTTCATTCTTGCTGATTCTGAGGCATTCACTATGCGTGATAAGGCAGATTCATTAGATAAACAGCTTAAGGAATCTGAGTTGAACTTGTTCAATGCAAACATTTCTCTTGATGAAAGTCGGGAACAGCATGATATTTTATGCTCTCAGCTTCATACTTTGGAAGATGAAATTACTGATTTGAGAGAGAAATTATTTGAAGCTGAGAAAAGAGCAGATAATGCTGAATCTAAATGCAAATTGTTAGGAGAGGCTAACATGGAACTTAATGAAGAACTGTGTGTTCTTAAAGACCAGGATGTAACATCTGAGAAGGTGGAGTTACTTGAGAAGCTGTTGAAGGAATCTGAAATCCGGTTAATGAGTGCTGTAGCTTCTGCTGAAGCTAGTCAGGAGAAGCAAAATATGTTGTATTCTACAATTGGAGATATGGAAAACTTAATCGAGGATCTAAAGTTGAAGGTTTCGAAAGCTGAAAATAGAGCTGATAGTGCAGAAGATAAGTGCATCGTATTATCTGAAACTAATGCAGAGCTCAGTGAAGAGTTGCGTTTCTTGAGGAGTAGACTGGGTGGCTTGGAGGCATCTCTAAATCAGGCTGAGGAAATGAAAATGGCAACTGCAAGAGACATAGACATTCGTACCAAACTGATAGCGAACTTACTTATGCAATTGGCATCTGAAAGAGAGCGCCTACACCAGCAGGTATGCCTGTTTTTCTTCCGACTTACCTTAGTTTTCATTTTCAATGTGGATTTCTAGCTGGGACATGCCGCCTGTTGGCCTTTCTATTTATCACTTCTATACAACAACTCTGAATGAACAACAATATGGTATGGGCTATCTTAAGATTGAAAATGACCGACTCAAAAGCATCAGTAACTATCTACTTAGTTCACTTTAATCAGCACAATAAATAATGGCTATTCTAAACCTGCTTTAACCTTCATGAAACCTTTTTGAATCAGCTAATATGGTGTGATAGCATGTGGAAGTAGCTATTCAAAGCTGAACAAAAAGTTCTAGAAACAAATATGAATAAGCATCCATTTAAGAGTTCTTAATCAGATTTTACTTATTGTACCAAGTAAAGTTTTGAAACATGTTTGGTGAAGATAGACTGGGTTGAAATATGAATAGCACTCTACTTGAAATACCTGCTTGTCAACAGATATCTGGATTAGCCAAGGAAAATAAGATCTTGGTAGTGAAGTTGAAGCAAGCAGACAAGGACCCCGTTATTATTGAGAGCCATAAGGAGAATGTCAAGGATTTTTTTTTCTCAAACCAATACTCCACTGCTGCTTTTGCAAGAGAAGCTAAGGAAGAAATAGCCAAGTCAGCAGCCAGTGGTTCTGAGGTAGGTTTTCCCTAATATATTTCTCTTATCAGTTGGTGCAGTTGTTTAATATGTCTTTCCCCATATGTTTGATTGTCATGTTATGCTTCATTGTTATAAAAATACTCATAGGGATGATACTTAGGTTGGACATAAATCACTTCAAATATTCAAGTTTATAGCTATCTATCTACCTCATATGTCAATTAGATTTTGAGAGGATAGTATATGGTCAAATAATATGTTTATAAGGACTGGCATAAAGGCCCTAAACAACTATATAATGGTAATAGTACTTAAAGGCACTCAGCTAGATGAAAAACTATAATCTTTTACTATATGAGGATACATCTTAGCTTATTTTGTAGCATCATAATATTGTTTGTGCTTGGGTCTTATCTATTGTAGATAATACTAGGTTCCTTGTGAAGGAGTCAAGTTTCTGGCTGAGAAGGATGATCTTTTAAATGCACCTGTAGGCAAAGAGATGGAAAGTAGAGCGAGAGAGAGAGAGAGAGAGGAAATAACACAAGAAATAGAAGAAAGCTAGTAGAAAAAAATCTCGAGTCGATATTGGATTCTAAACAATCCAAAAACTGATTTGACTATTTATCCTTCAATTTACAAATTTAATGAGTTACCTTAAACCCTAATGTAAAATCCCTCCTAAAATTAGATAAAGTCCCCCATCAACTTAATTCTTTTATTTTTGTTGGTTGTGTTTTTTGAAGATTTTTGTTTTTCATAATCAACTCAAATTAAATGTTGTTACAGCCTGACAAGACTACTGAATCTGTTGGTGAGTCCGACGTCAGACCTGCAGATTCCACATCTGACTATGAGACTGTGAGGACAATAGATGCAAGATTGCTTAGCTTCAAGCATATTTCCTTGGCATTGCTCGTCGTGTTAATGTCAACAGCAGCAGCTTACTACTTCCAGAAGCAGAAAAACCCTTCTAATTGATGAACGGTGCATTCATGCTGTTATTTATTGTGGAACCTTGACAGTTTCTACTCGATTCCTCTCCTATACTGAATCCGTTTGAAGGCTGGAATCTGATTTTTCACCTAAGCTGAAATTGTATGAAGCCTCAAACTTTAGTATACATCTTCACTGAAATTCTACTCGGATTTTTTTGAGAGAATCTGCATGATCATGAAATTCATTTTTCGTATGAGGTGTTATTATGTAGATCGAAGACCTTCAAATACATCAGAACTGTCGTTGCGGCGAAAGATTAGTTTTTTATGACTTTGGTAGATGTTCATCATGTTGGGTTCAAAGTACATTTTCTGACTAGTGATAATAAAACACTTGGCAATGAGCTTATATTAATGTCGACAATATCGTAGACTTAAATGCAATGATGTGGTGATATGTCGAGCATTGAAGATTTCTGTTATTTTTAACATAGTAATGCTATATTCATCTTGCATCTGTTTCTTATTCTTTTGGACAACTTGAACCTTGCATTCTGTTTGACTTGACGAAATTAGTAATGAAAAAAATAATAAAATTCCAGAATTTAAAATAAAACGATTGAAAAGATGGAAAATTTGAAGATGAAGTGGATGGATGAAATATATATATATTCAGAAAAGGCTCATTGGTCAAATTATGAATCAAACCACGTATAATAACTTGAAGAATGACATTGGGATAATACAGACCAAAACAGCAACAAATATTATCATGAATCTGTCATTGAGCTAACGAGAAAAAGTTTTCTTTTTAGAAATGAATTTAATTTTGGTGAACAACACTGGTGATTTCTTTTATTATCTATCTATTCAATTTTGGTCATTAATTTAAAAAAATAGTTTTAACCACTTTTGTTTTTGTTATGTCTTATTTTGATTTACAAACGATAAATGAATATGTTCGTAAAAGCTAAATGAACGAATACAAACACATTTAATAATAAACAAACAAACATAAACACGATACTAAAAAATAAACCAAGTATGAATTGAACATAAACACTTCCATAAATAAACAAACGAATACAAACATAATTTTATTAGTTAAAATAAAACATAATTCCTCAAATAATGCAGTTGAAAAAAACAATTGCTCGAATAGGGTACTCTCGAAATTATTTCGTGAAATGGTAAAGTCGAAGATGCATTGGAGTCAAAGCGACTTACATATAAATTTGGGGGAGAAGCATCCCATATTTTTTTTCACCAATTTCATTACTATGTAAATGTACAAAGGGTAAATTACACAATTAATCATTCAACTTTACTCTCTCTCCAAATTCACTCACTGTACTTTTAATTTTTTTCAATTTAATCTCTCAATTTTTATTTTACTCCTATTTTGATCACTCTACAATGACATGGATTGTTTTACTCCTATTTTGATAACTCATCGACCATTGTTCAAGTTGTTATATGGAAGCCAATTTGATCCATCAGCTCTAGCATTGAATTTATATACTAAAGAAACCAACATCGTGCTTACATAATTTCTAATTGAAATTGTTGTCCAAAACAGTGCATCTGCATTTAATTAATTTATTTTTATTATACCCTAAATTAGTGGGGGTCATAACTCCCACCTAAACTCAATTTCAAATAGAATTTATGTGAGCACGATGTTGGTTTCTTTAGTAATTAAATTCAATGCTAGAGCTGATGGATCAAATTTGCTTCCATATAACAACTTGAACAATGGTCGATGAGTGATCAAAATAGGAGTAAAACAATCCATCTCATATAGAGTGATCAAAATAGGAGTAAAATAAAAGTTGAGTAATTAAATTGAAAAAAATTAAAAGTACAATGAGTGAATTTGGAGAGAGAGTAAAGTTGAATGATTAATTGTGTAATTTACCCTTTGTACATTTACATAATTCATTGGTGAAAAAATATGCTTTCTTCGGATTTACTTAGTATTCACTTTATTTTACTATATAATTTCAAGAGTACCTTATTCAAATAATTTTTTTTTCAATTGCATTATTTGATAAATTCAGCACCATCCCTAGACGGGGCATCGATGAATAACATTAAAAATTTGTGATGATAATCGGGTTCGGGCCATGCCCCGTGATTGTGATGATCTAAGTCAGCCCGACAAAATCTAACCATCTCAACGGAACAATCCTAAACTTTCACCAATTCTTTGTTACTTTTCTTCAGTTCATCAGTCAAATCTTAATAAATTAACAACACCCACACCCATATCAGATCTTTTAATCCTTTCATTGTCAAATATGCGATCCCATTATCAATTGTTATTACTTTTAATTTTCACTATTTAGTTTAAGCCATAGACAGAAACAAAGCAGCATACATAGCTGAATTTCGATGGCTGTAGCTTTCAGGGGAGCTCGGGGTGGCGGATCCGGCGGTGTTGGAGCTGCTTTCTGTAGTTTGTTTTCTTACAGGGTCTTTGTTTCAGCCATGTTTTCGCTTCTTTTGATTGCCACTGCCGCGGTTCTCCTCACTACACGTCCTTCTACAACTCATCACCACTCTGTAAATTTTACCTTCTTCAGTCTCTCTCTCTCTCTCTCTCTTTTCAATTTGTTCACCCTTCTTTTTTTCTAAATTCATTGTCTTTTGTTTTGTTTTTCTCTTTTTCAGATACCTTTCGTTTTTCCCCTAACTTGGAGTTTTCTTTTTTTAGACTCAGCAACGTACCATCATCCGTTTCTCTAATTCAGTGCTTCAATATCTGAATATATTTGGCATTTTAGATATACTTTGGCGTTTTGTAAATGGTTTTTTCTTTTTGGAGCTGAGCGTTTAATCTTGAGAATCTAATATTTATTATGGTTATTTTTTGCTAGTCTTTAGGGCAGAGCATGCACTACTTCAAATATCGATTTTTTTTGGATTCTTAAATACCCTTTTAGGTGTTCTAACTATTTTCATTTTGTGTTAGCAGAGGCTTCAATGAGGCGGAAACGCTTACATGCATAGAACATATGTGGCATTGAACTCGGACCCTCTCAAAACAAGGTTAGATTTGATATACAGGCAAGCCAATGATCACATCACATTAGTGAAAGCATATGCAGCTTATGCAAGGAAGCTAAAGCTTGACATTTCAAGGCAATTGACAATGTTTGATGATTTGGCTAAGAACTTCTCAGATATTACATCAAAACCAATGTACAAATCCTCTTTGTTTGAAACCAATGGTAACTTAGAGGAGGATGTGTTAAGGCAGTTTGAGAAAGAAGTAAAGGATAGAGTGAAATTGGCTAGGTTGTTGATGGTTGAATCTAAAGAGAATTATGATAATCAGTTGAAAATTCAGAAGTTGAAAGATACTATTTTCGCAGTTAGTGAGTTATTAGGCAAGGCAAAAAAGAATGGAGCTTTTGCGAGCTCAATTGCTGCTAAATCAGTTCCTAAGAGTTTGCATTGCTTGGCAATGAGGCTTGTTGAGGAGAGGATTTCACATCCAGAGAAGTACAAGGAGTTTTTGCCTAAACCTGAGTTTGAGGACCCTGATTTGTATCATTTTGCTATATTTTCCGATAATGTGATTGCGGTTTCTGTGGTGGTGAGGTCTGTGGTGAAGAATGCTGAGGAGTCTTGGAAGCATGTTTTCCATGTGGTAACTGATAGAATGAATTTAGCTGCAATGAAAGTTTGGTTCAGAATGAGACCTGTGGAAGGAGGTGCCCATGTGGAGGTGAAGGCATTAGAAGATTTTAAATTCATGAATTCCGCCTATGTGCCGGTGCTGAGGCAGATTGAGTCTGCTAAGAAGAGGTTTTACTTGGAGCAAAAGATAGAGAATGCAACCAAAGATGGGACTAACATGAAGTTTAGGGATCTTGAGCATATGTCAATGTTGAATCACCTTAGGTTTTATTTGCCTGAAATGTACCCTAAATTGCATAAGATTTTGTTATTGGACGATGATGTCGTGGTTCAGAAGGACTTGACTGGGTTGTGGAAGATAGGTTTGCCTGGAAAGGTGAATGGGGCTGTTGAGACCTGCTTTGGGTCGTTTCACCGTTTCTCTCAGTATTTGAACTTTTCAAATCCTCACATTAAGGAGAGGTTTAATCCTAAGGCTTGTTCTTGGGCCTATGGGATGAATATTTTTGATCTTGATGCTTGGAGGCGTGAGCAATGTACAGAAATGTATCACAGCTGGCAGAACTTGGTTAGTACATTATTTTATTTTAAGTGAACTTATTGGTTTTTGATACAAATAGAGGTACTAATTTATTAGCTACTGGTCATGATGCTTGGTGGTGTCAGAGATCATTTCATGATTTTAATGGAGAAGAGGAAATAATAATTTTACTTGCAAAAATTTAACAACAAATCAAGAACGAGTCCTTAGTCTTATTAGTTTTAGGGTGGATTTCTGATTGAAAATTAGAAATGATGATCAAATAAATATAGCTTTTAGGAGTGCAATCAATTAACTGTCCAAATTTCTAATGCAACTCAGTTTTGCGAATGGTGTGTGAATTATTAATTGAAGTTTTGAAAGTGGTCGTGTAACTAATTTTGAATTGGTTTTCTGCTCAGAATGTTGATCACACTCTGTGGAAATCGGGTACTCTTCCGCCCGGCTTGATGACCTTCTACTCATTGACAAAATCACTGGACAAATCGTGGCATGTGCTTGGGCTTGGATTCAATCCAAGCATTAGCATGGATGTGATCAACAATGCTGCAGTCATTCATTATAATGGAAACATGAAACCTTGGCTAGATATTGCTATGAATCAATACAAGAATCTCTGGACTAAATATGTGGATAATGATATGGAGTTTGTGCAGACTTGCAACTTCGGAGTCTAGGTAAGCAACTGCTGTTGCTTCTCTCTCAATAATCAAGTAACAAGAATACAAGTTTTAGCGATTGTTCATATTGGCTCGATATATTCCGCCCAAAATTTACACTATTCTTTAGTTTAATTCCCAGAGCTATGCTTGATGGTTATTTTCTTTCCCCCTTGTAGTAGAATTGCTATTTGATGATTCTCGAATTCGCTGTTTTGTTATTGAAGATGTCGAGTAGGAATTGTACTGAACCAGATTATATATGTACACACTTAAATGATTCTTTTGATAGTGAAATCTTTTCCATCAATAGATTTTTTATGGCTTACAAAACTCAACATGTGTCTACTTTCATGTACTGTTATAGTTCTTTAAGTTAGCTCTCTTGTTCAGACCATGTTCTTTAACTTCTGAGAATCCTTGAAATACCTGGAAAAACATTAAAGAATCTAGTAATTCTCTTGTTAAGACACATTCACATCCGACACTCACTCAAGTTGCCAAATGTTTGATCAAGGAGTACATATTAACTCATATTCGGATTCACTAAGATAAGTTATCCGAAATGTTTCATTAAGCCATCCAAAATATCTCATTAAGGAGACTAAACCAAAAATCATGCTTTTGTGTGTGTGTGTGTGTGTGGAATCTTTCTCACTAGAGGTGCTTTCAATAGCAATCTCTCTTGTAAATGAGTTTATCAGACGGAATTATTTTGAATAAGAATATAGAGAACATTCAACGAACCAATCTTTTATAAAGTTATTAAATTATTAGTTTCCGGTTACTTTTGTTATTATTTTTTTTTTTCAAAAGAAAAATGCAGTCACTTTTCAAAACAACTTTATTAAAAAGTATAATTATTTTTTTAAAATTATCAATATCATTTTAATATTAGTAAAGTCACCTAGAGGTGTGAATGAATCGAGCTTGAACGAACAAAGTTATGTTCATAATCATTTGTTTGTTTTCAAAGATGTTCGTGTTCGATTTGTGTGCGTTTAAATTTTTAATATATTGTTGATGTTTGTTTATTTATTTTTAAAAATGTTCATTATAATATAATTGAAATTATAATTAAAATTATCAATTAATTAATGCATCAAGTTAGTCAAAAATAGATAAAAGTAATCTTTAGATTAAACTATAATTGAAACTAATCATATTATTTTATAAAATATATTAATTATAACATAATAATTTTATAAAAAAAATATAATTCAAGTTATAAAACTAAAAAATAATAATGGAGTTTGAAATTATCTGAAAACAAAATAGTGATATCACCATTTAAATGATTAATAAGATTTAATTTACTACTATAACTTATAAAAACGTTAAATTATTTATTATTTGTAAAATTTCTTAAATCTTATGAGTTTCATATTATTATATTTGTGGAAATAGTGTCCATAGCATGCAGTTTATGAAAACTACAAAATGCACTCAGGTGGAATAAACGAATTAAATTTGTTCAGACTGAAATGAGTATTTAGTAAATAAACAATATTTTTATAATTGATAGTATATTCAAATTTGGGAATTAAAACGGGAATGAATTAAGAAGAAGAAGAAAAAGAAAATTGGAGTGAAGATAAGATGTAAAATTTGGATACATTTAGTCTAAATACAGCACGAGACAAAAGGAAAGAAGCAGTAACGAACTAGAAGTTTTAGAGCATTGATGGTTGGGGCCAAACGCCACTGCAAATTTCACATCACTAAGTCACAGTCTGGAATTTGTGGTGCACCTCCATCCTCATCATAACACCCTCCTACGTGGCAGTTTTGTATTGGCTGGATGAATCTCTCCATCTCCAGCCAACTCAAATCCAAATGACTCAGCCAGTAACGTGCTTCTCTCTCTTTGCTTGTCAAAATGTGGTGTTTTATTTATGAGGTTGCTCACAATGATTATTCTATAATATATGTTCATGATTTTTCACCTGTAGAAGTAGTTATTCAAACATGAATCTTTTACAGTCTTTTACTAATGACACCACTCAGTGGATTACATCCTTAAATTGCATTTGAATGTATCAAGATTTCATCAAACTTGTTTCTTACGTGCCAAATGGTTCATTTTGATGCAAGAAAACCATGAACCACAAAGATTCGATCCATGGAAACCATACTTATCCAACAACTATTAACAAACAAAACAATTGATTAAGACTGCTCCATTGAAAACGAGAAGTGATTATATCACTGTTTCATCCAACACTTGCGAAGTCCAGAACCCATGGCTGACTGCCAAGTGTCATCGCCTAAAATGGAGACTGCATTCATCTACTTCAAGTGGGTCGGTACTTCATATTTACATTATTCGATATGCCAACGCAGAATATGTAGGTCCTGGGGCAAACGCCAAAACTAAGCTAACCACAAGATAATGTAATAACTTTTAGCATTCACTAACTTTCTGCCACGTGTCCGCAGCAGGATTCTCTTCTCCATACAGTTAAACCTCCCTTCCTCTCTTCAATGTGCTCACACTCCCAAGTTTGTAGAGTTCTGAGAGCTTGCGTGTAAGAAATGTTGAAACAAGAAACGCTTGATGCTGCTGGTGGTGGAAACGATTGGGCGCGTGTCTGCGACACATGCCGGTCTGCGGCCTGCACGGTGTACTGCCGAGCAGACTCGGCGTACCTCTGTGCCGGATGTGATGCCCAAGTGCATGCTGCCAACAGGGTGGCCTCACGCCATGAACGTGTCTGGGTGTGCGAGGCATGTGAAAGTGCCCCGGCTGCCTTCTTGTGCAAGGCAGACGCTGCATCCTTATGCACTACGTGTGATGCTGAAATTCATTCAGCTAATCCACTCGCACGTCGCCACCAGCGTGTCCCGATTCTTCCGATATCGGGATGTCTATATGCCCCTCTGGCTACTGATCAAGGCGGTCCAAAGATGGCATCTGCAACCGAGACCGAAGATGGTTTTATGTCCACAAATGGAGATGAGACAATCGCTGAGGATGAGGATGAGGCAGCTTCATGGTTACTGTTGAATCCTGGGAAAACTAGCACCAACCAGAACAAAGGGTTTTTGATTACCCGGGAGGATGACAAGTATCTGGACCTCGTTGATTACAATTCGAGTGTCGACATTCAAATCACTGAACAGTACAACCAACAAAACGAATACGGTGTTCCGGTCAAGAGTTACGGGGGTGATAGCGTTGTGCCAGTTCAATGGGAAGAAGCCAAATATCACTTTCAGCAGCAGCAACAGCAACAGCATCAGAGTTTTCAGTATGGCCTCGATTACGATTCCTCAAAAGCTGCATACAGCTACGACGGTTCCATTAGCCATACCGTAAGATTTAATATCAAACAACATTCTTGAAAGTGTATAACTGCTTATTCTAAATTTTATGTTTCCACTAACAAAAAGGTATTGAACTTGAAACTGTAAGCGACAGTTATTAAGCCTGATGTTTCAATTCAGAATTGAATGATGTTTCTACACTTATTAAGCCTGATTTTTCAATTCAGAATTGAATGATGTTTCTAACATTCCCTGAACCATATCAGGTATCCCTTTCCTCAGTGGATGTAAGCATTGTGCCGGAATCAACTACTAGCGATATCTCTATCTCGCACACAAGGCCGACTAAAGGTACAATTGACCTCTTCACTGGACCTCCCTGTCCGATGCCAACTCAACTTGCACCAATGGAAAGGGAGGCTAGAGTCCTGAGATACAGAGAAAAGAAGAAGACAAGAAAGTTTGAAAAGACAATAAGGTATGCTTCGAGGAAAGCATATGCAGAAATGAGACCCCGGATTAAGGGTCGGTTCGCGAAGAGAATGGAGGTGGAAGTCGAGGTGGATCAGATGTTCTCCACAACAGTACTATCGGAAACTGGATACGGAATTGTACCTTCATTCTAAATGCAGTAAGAAAAGGAGTTAATAGTAAAGCTTTAATGCTGATACTGTATCTCTTCTTAATTGATTTGGTCAATTAGATAATATATGTTTGGTATTTTTTTTGGATTGTCTAAATCATGCTACTGGTGTATTGTAAATACATGTATTAATGTATATCTATAATTCTGGGATTTACTTGTTTGCAATTAAAACAGGAACAATCATGATATGGCTTCTAGTTACCTTATACTAGACATAAATATGAAAGGAATCAACAAATATTTCTAAAACAACATTCAGGAGGCACTTGGTTTCTGTGACGAGCAACATGTCCTTCCTTATTCCTTAACACTGGTAAGTTTACATTAAAGAAGCTTTAGGTTTGCTACAAGTCCATACTGTATGGTTGATATCAGAATAGAGGTAAAAGGCAACACTTTAGACTCTAGGACCAATTACTGACTTCCATCACCATTCTAACTCTTTTCAGTACTGTATTTAGACTGAGACAAATAGTTCTAGCAAAACGTTTATGGTATTTACATTTTACCATTAAAAACATCTTCTTATCTAGGGGTGGAAAAAAGATCCCGTTGGATGTTGATGCGAATAATTTGGTCTAATCTGCGGTTCATTCCTTTTGTTTTGAACAAAGAGTCGTGACCGATGAAGTGACGGTCGTTAATCGGTGTTTCTTTGTAAGAGAGATCAAAGCATAAGAGGGAAGATGAGAGGAGAGGGTTTCCTCTTTTAGCCTTTCTCGGGTTATAAATACTTCGACTATAGTGCGGCTAGTGTTAGACCTATGATGACAATGACTTTATGTATATTGACTTAAACAAGATGATTATAGTTGTTGGAATAAGTCTGACTCTGATAAATCACATGGAATTGGTAAAGATCTATTCTAAGGACTGTAGTCATCCGATAAATATGAGACCCCAGACAAATTGTGAACAAAAATATTAATTTAGAAAAATATCTTTAAATTATATGTCTGAAGATTTAACAAATCTAAATCATTTAAATGAAATGTACACTTAAACATATTTGAATTCTTTAAATGATATGTCTGAAGATTTAACAAATCTCAATCATTTAAATGAAATGTACACTTAAACATATTTGAATTTATGTTTTTTTCAATATTGTAATAGTAATGATAATAATTGATAATTTAACGAGTTCATTATATGTGTTTTGTTTAGTTTTGAGAAAAATTAATAGTATAAAAGATTACATTGTGTCATGTAGCTGGGAAAGCCGTGATGAAAGAAAGAAAGAAAGAAAGGACGAGATTACAGAAGAGAGAAGATCAAAAGTGTAGTGGACGAGGAGCTTCATTCATGGCTGAAGTGGATCAAAAGTGTTGCATCGTGTGAATATCACCACCCCTTTTTACTTTAACTCAAGGTCCTACTCCGATCCATTTCTACAACACCATTCGCAGAGTATCATCCCTTTTGTCCATACAGTTACCAATATTTCAACCAAGATTCTATTTTGCTAAGGATCCGTACGATCTTTATTCCTTCCCCCACTCTATAGTGGATGGTAAGGAGTACTGATCTTTATTCAAAAGATGCTGCACTTTTATCACTTTTTGAGAGATCCGTAAAGGGAACAAATTTATCACTTTGATCACTTTAAAGTTGAGTGAGCCATAACTTTACGTAAAACACTAGTTTGCTATTCTTACTCCACCATGCTTTTGTTCCATTTCTGCAACTCACGTTATTCTTCTGTCAATTTCTCTAGTAAGCAAAGCAGTGGTTATGGTTTCATGCATTATTGGTCCAAAAAGTTCATGCCACCAAAGACCTCCAAATGGTGAAATATATGCAGCAATGAAAAGATGAAGATGATGCCCTAAAATTTCCAATGATTTTTCTGAGCTGAATTTCTGTGACTCAATAAATGCTTCCATGTACAAGCTAAGAAAAAGAAAATATAATAGAAAAAAGCAGACTGCACTTTGCACTTTTTCACAAAGGAAAAGAGAAAAAATTCAAAATATCAATTTCTGGTTTGTCATACGTTCAGCAACATTGCTTTGCCTTCACTCATTTACACACAGATTCTTTGCTGTTCATTTGCCTTCACTCATTTACACACAGATTCTTTGCTGTTCATTTTCCTTCACTCATTTATACACAGATCCTTTGCTGTTTATTATTGAGGCCTCTGGTCCTACGGTTAACTAGCAGCAGTTAATACATATATAAACTTGTACTTGATCTGCACTTAAGCCAATAACTAGAAAAAGCATCGCTGGAAAGTATCTTGACGCCATCTAGGATTAAAGGTATAGATAGTTCCCAAAAGAACAATGATACCTAAGGTCATAATAGACTTGCTAAGAATGAACCTTACATCTTCCCAGACGCAACTTTATTCAGATTCTTCATCCACTATCAATAAAAGAATCTTGTAAAATCCTCCAAAAATGTTGTCTCTTGCATACATATCTGAAATTCAATTTGCCCTGATACACCATGATTCTTTCTTAGTACTATTGTATTAGTTATTATTAGGGAGCAAATGGTGAAGTTGTACATGAGAAGCTTGTTCTTACATATAGACTATATAGTTTGGCAGATCTCACCTAACCATCCCCTTCTATCATGGATGGATCGAGAAGAAGTGACTCGGAGTCGTCGTTCCCTTCTAAAAATTTTAAATTATCATGTGTTTTAGATATTCTTTTTTGTTTTCTCTATTTAAACGATCATATATTTTAGATATTCTTTTTTGCATTCTCTGTTGATAATATGTTTTCGCTCTTAGCATTTGATAAGTTTATCGTCCTTAAAATTTAGAAATTTGTCCCCTAAAATTTTAGAAACTCTTTCTTCTAACATAAAATCAGACATATGTTCCGGTCTTCATCCTTATTTTTCACTAATTGACCCTTATTATACCTCGGCAGGAAGGTAGATATGGTAAAGCACTATCATCTATGATTTAGTTTACTTGATCTGGAATTCCTGTTAATGTTTTCAGCTTCACTTGGGTTCCATTTCAGTAGCACCGTTTGAAACTCGTGTTTGGGGTTGGAGCTGGTTGTGGTGTTGGCTTTGGCTTTGGGTTCGGACAAGGTACTGGTTATGGTTCTAGTTTAGAATCATTAGAATCCAACCTCTCTAAAGATAGTTCAGATTCCAACAGAATTTTTTTAATTTCTAAGGAATGCAAACAAAGTTGCTCTGTTTCAATTATGTTGAGGCTGTATGAATTACCAGGTACACTTGGGTTCCATTTCAGTAGCAACATTTTAGGTACACTTGTAAATACCCTGTTTTGATGGAGAATAAACCTATGAAATTACCATGTTGCTAATTATGGAAGGTTTGCCTTTGCCTTATTAATTATCAGATATCTTTGTGACCTGTATAATTAATTGCATTCATCGCTTTTCGAAAAGAGATACTTGATGGTCAAGGAAGTGGAATGCGTGTATCACAAGTATAGACGGGAACAAGGTTTTATTAATTATCGAATAAATCAGTTGACATCCTCTTAAAACCTTCAACCCTTGTACATGAATTCGTTTAAGTTGGTTGGAAATTTAAGAGAATTTAAAAAAATTATAATTTAAAAAACACTTTAAAATGATTGATTTTTAAAAATAAAATTTTAAATTTATGCTGGATCTGAATATAAATAAAATGTTAATGTGTAATTAAATAAATGTATATTTATTTTTCATTATTTTTTATATCTAATTGAAAGAATTTGAATTTTATGAAGTATTAGTGTACTAATCACTAGGTCAAGTTTATCATTTGGTTAAATATAGATAACATGTATTACTAAAAGTTATCTTATTACAACCAACAATCAGTTAATCTAGTGGGATTAATCACTAAGATTTTTTAAGTAAGGTTAGGGGTTCGAACTCTGATGTTTGCGAATGAAACAAATTGGGTTGGGATGGTCGCCCCCATAATAAGCCTCTACAAAACTTGATCTAGATTAATTGATCAATAGATCGGGTATCAGTGATTAATTAAAAAAAAGTTATTGCATATTAGGTTAAGGGAGTAAAAATTGAAACGAGACCAATATTTAGTTAAGATTAACAACATAATATTTATTAGAATTATTACGTTATATCATGCTACCCAGCTAAATTTATCTTTACCATTGTTTTCACGTACTGTTAGAATTATTTGAAAGTGTTTCAGAAGAATCTTATATAATTCCTTCAGTTTTTGTTGATACACAATTATTTGTAATTGGATTTGTAAGAAAACATGAAAGAGTGATCCCAGTAAATATGCTTACTTGTATTGTTCTTATCTTCATAAAACAAAAATTTACGTAAGAGAAAACTTATCTTCTTAGAATATCATAACTAAAGAAATACTCAAATATTTCAACCTATCAATTAATTCAAATATACTTTCGCATCTAATATTTTATTCTTAATAATTTAAGACGATACATCTTGAATTAATATATTTTATATCGAATTATTATAATTATATCAATACTCTATGTCTCTATTATTTAGCTAATTACTACTATATATATATATATATTGCTTAATACAAAAATAAATGCCCAAACAATATCTCGAAAATCATTTTGGTGTCTAATTTTTGTTGTTGCTAAAAACAACTGGCTAACGTTTTCTCAGTTACACTTTTATATGCATACTGTTATATTTTTTAATAATAAAAATAGTATTTAAAAAACTGAATTTATTTATAAAAAACCCAAACTTTTAATGAAATTATAAAAAAACTCTAAAAAACTAAAATATCTCATTTCAACCCCCATTACCAATTGTCGCCGGCCATTTCGGACCAACATCGTCGACGAACACTTGGGTTTTGATCAAAATTGCAAGGTGATTCGAATGGTGTTGGCGGTGTGGCTTTTGGACTTCGGGATAGGCTAGAATCGACAAAAAACAGTGAATGTGACTTAAAATCCGACAAACCTTTGAATACTTCTATATGGTAAACGATGACACTTTACGACGAAATGCCAACAGTGATTTGATTGAGAGTCGACGTCGATGCCGATGAAGGTGGTAGTGACAATCACAGATGGTTGGCCGACGACCAAGGAAACGGGGAGGGAGAAAAAAGAAGAAGGACGTGGGAAGTTGGGTTTTTTAAAATAATTTTTAATTTTTTAAAAATAAATTCTCAAAATTACCATAACGTGACATGTGTCACTTAACGATCAAATTTAACGGTCATTACGATTCAAG